TGGGGGGGGGGGGTGGATTCCCACAATTCATGTCAGATAACTGTGTATGCTGTTACAAATAGACCCAACTAGGAAAATATCTGTTAAGACTCTTAAGAGGGAATAAGAATAGCCAAGTGAGTCAGCTTCCTTATTCAGGCCTTGTTAGTCAAAGTTAAAGCTGCTAGAGAAGTAGTTAGTTTGTTAGCTCTTGTATTGCGGAAGCAGAGGTGTAGGATATAAATAGAGGTAATAAAATGCAATTGAAGCAAATTGGTCAACCAGTTTTAGGCGGGAGAGACCAGGCTCTAAATTCTTAGGAACTTCTATTGTGAACTTCAAAAGATCCCAAGAGGCCTAACGCCTAACACATTCAAATTATATTTTTTTCTCTATATTTTAGGGCTCCAAATTTCGTAATTGCAATGATTTTCCTTTATTCTTTTCTCATTTTGTGTTTTTACTATTATATACCTTCCATTACACAGGGTTTGTTAAACAGGAGAATTGGTGCTACGAGTATCAATTCTGAAAGTTCACGTTCACATACTGTTTTTACTTGTGTGGTTGAATCTCGATGCAAGGTGATGCACTCTTCTCTCGTGGCTAGGAGATTGTATATATATATATATATATATATATATATTATTTTTTTTATATTTATTTATTTATTTATATAGATTTATAGTATTTTGTTTGTTATTTATTTATTTATGAATTAAATATGTTTTCGATCCCTATAAAATAAGTAAACTAAAAAAATAGTGAAATACAAAACACTTCAAGCTTAACGATTTTATCTGTTTTAAGATTAATGATTTTTATCTGTTTTAATTTTACTCTGTAACTTTTTTTTTTTTATCTTTTTTTATTATTTTTATTTTTTTCTTTCTAGGATGTGTAAATATCGGTTTTTATCCCTTTAAAATAAGTAAACTAAAAAATAGTGAAATACAAAACACATTGACCGATACAATTCTCCCATTCCGTTGGGGGTTGGGGGTTTATCAGGGTTTTGTGTATCAGTTGCACAAACACTTCGACCCCTCTATCTTTGATCTACCTTTGCTTAAAAGTAAAAGTTTTTTGGTGGCAAATATTTAATATTGAATTTCTTGAATCCAAATTCAAGTCTGGAAGACTAGATTGTCCTTAAGCCCTTATCTATCATTTAGGAAGATTGCAGAGGTTAAAAAGAAGACCCTTTTAAATTTTGTTTGGAAGCCAACTCTAAACCCTAAACTCAAGTTCTTAGCCTTAAGATTTGTGACTATTACACTTCTTTGAGATTCAGTTTTAACAATTTTGTGCTAAACTCAAGTTATTAGAAGATAGAGACGAAATATTTTAACAATTTTGTGCTAAAAAGTTATTTGGTATCAGTTATAATTGTGTTAACAAAATTAAAGAATATTATTCTTATGTTGTCCAAAAAATATTTTTTAATTTATCTATTAATATGGGTATGTATATTTTGAGATTCAGTTTTAACAATTTTGTGCTAAACTCAAGTTATTAGAAGATGACGAAATATTTTAACAATTTTGTGCCAAAAAGTTATTTGGTGTCAGTTATAATTGTGTTAACAAAATTAAAGAATACTATTCTTATGTTGTCCAAAAAGTATTGTCCAAAAAAGTCTAATTTAGTTTAGAGTTAGGCTTCAGGGTTTAGGCCCATTTCATAAAGTATTTTCCCTGGTTTAACGACAGCTATCCAATATTCGGGAGATCCTTTTCTCGAGGTCTTATTGTAACTGTTTTTTTTTTTTGAAATATGCGTACTCATATTTGTTCACCTCGGCAAACATTTCGTGATGTTGCCCGTCGTCCCACTTCTATTTGTCTTCTATTTGTCTAATGTTATCGAGGCGGCTGAAGAGCATATCTTCTGAAGCAAATATGATTACCTCGAAAAAGAAATTCGTTCTATATACATTCAAACCATTATTGGTCGAAATCGAAGAAGCTATACAAGGTTTTTGCCGGGCCTACTCATATGATATCTAGGATATCTAATCATATAGATGGTTGATATCTAAGATAAGCAAATTTAAGATACCGGTGTAAATTCAGATCTTCCCGGTTTAACTAGGATCATAGTTTTTCAATTTCTATACAAATAAAGATAAAGAAAAGGAAGTTTTCCAATCATTGATTCAAACCCATTGTCGAACTGAATCCCACTGAGTGGTATGGAGGTACTTATGGCAGAACAGGTCAATCTAGTCTTTCACAGTAAAGTGATAGGTGGAACTGCCATTAAACGACTTATTAGCAGATTAATAGATCACTTCGGAATTGATGACCTATTAACAATACGCTGGGATTCCGTCAAGCTACGGCTACATCCATTTTCATTAGGAATCGATGACTTTTTAACAATACTTTCTAAAGGGTGGCTAGTCCAAGATGTTGAATAACAAAGCTTGATTTTGGAAAAACATCACCATTATGGGAATTTGAGATATGGTATGCTACAAGTGAATATTTGCGACAAGAAATGAATCCTAATTTTAGGATGACCGACCCCTTTAATCCAGTCCATATAATGTCTTTTTCGGGAGTTAGAGGAAATGCATCTCAAGTACACCAATTACTACGTAAGCGAGGATTAATGTTGGACCCACAAGGACAAATGATTGATTTATTTATATTCAAAGCAATTTACGCGAAGAGCTATCTTTAACAAAATATATAATTTCTTGCTACGGAGCCTGTAAAGGAGTTATAGATATTGCTGTACGAACATCAGATGTTGGATATCTTACATGTCGACTTGTTGAAGTGGTTCAACACATTGTTGTACGTCGAATAGATTGTGGTACCTTTAGAGGAATTTCGGTGAATACCAGAGTGGGATGATGCCGGAAAGAATTTGGATACAAACATTAATAGGTCGTGTATTAGCAGACGATATATACAGAGGTTCGCGATGCATTGTCATTAGAAATCAAGATATTGGAATTGGACTTATCAATCGATTTAAAACCTTTCAAATACAACCAATATTTATTAGAACCCCCTTTACCTGTAGGAATACTTTTTGGATTTGCTGATTGTGTTATGGCCAAAGTCCTACTCATGGCCACTTGGTGGAATTAGGAGAAGCTGTAGGTATTATTGCGGGTCAATCAATTGGAGAACCTGGCACTCAACTAACATTAAGAACTTTTCATACGGGCGGAGTATTCACTGGGGGTACTGCAGAACATGTGCGAGCACCTTATAATGGAAAAATAAAATTCAATGAGAATTTGGTTCATCCTACACGTACACAATGGAAAAATAAAATTCAATGAGAATTTGGTTCATCCTACACGTACACGTCACAGGCATCCTGCTTTTCTATGTTATATAGACTTGTATGTAACTATTGAAAGTGGTAACATTACACATAATGTACCATGCATCATAATTTAGATATAGTAATGTCCATATTTTACTAAAAATAAGTCATTTATGGATATTATTAGGAAAATCATACAGGTCCGGTTCAATCTCTTTTTCACTCCGAAAAGATCAAAGATCAAATGAGCATCCATTTTCTTTCTACTGGAGAAAGAGATATTTATAACCTTTTAGTAAGTAATGATCAAGTAAGACATAAATTATTTTGTTTCAAGCCTTTTGATAAAAACGAAAGAAGGATTCCAGATTATTCAATATTTAATCAAATCGTATGGATAGATCATTGTAATTTTACACATACTGTTGTTTTATATGAT